GGCCTGTCCCTGCCATTCCTGTCAGGCTAACCTTAATGTCCGATTAGCAGAGACAAACTCAGCCTCTCCAGCTGTGACTGAAGCAGTCACTCAGCCTCTCTAGGCCTCCTCAGTTTCCTCACCTACAAAACAGCTCAAATACAAGGGTATCCGTTTCTTAGGGTTGTTGCGCGGCTTTAACAGGCCTGTGAGACAGAAGCCCTCACGCAGCACCTGGTCCAGAGTGAGTACTTGGCGCTAGGTGCTGTCGGCACTTATGCTGACCCTCCAGCTTAACTCATGAATGAACTCTGTCAGGTTTGTAGCCTCACAAACTGCTGCCCAAATCATTCTTATATTTATCTGGAGAGAAGGCCCTAGCTCTGTCACCTTCTAAGAATGGATTCTTAGCCCCAAAAGTTAAAAGTCTAAATAAGAAAACAGAGGTACAGAGGAAGAAAGAAAGTAGCCAGCACCAGGAAGGACACAAAGCCAGTGTCCAAGATTATCAAATCTCGGGTCTCATTCCTTCCACCTATCTGTCTGCCTGGCCTGCCCTCCCCACTCCTCACATGATCAGCGGTAGAGGTTCCTCAGTGGGCTTCCCACCCCATGGCCTTCAAGGAACCTTCTCTACCTTGCGCCAGCTCTTACTCAGATCCCAATCTCACAACACAGTATCTTAGCCTTGCTGCTGATGGCATCATCAAGGTCAAGGTCTCCAGGTTGACCTTCTGTGGCCTTCACTGCCAGCTGGGCCCCGCTGGTCACCTCCCCCTTCCCTCTCATCTGGTCAGTGGGCTGATTTCTTCTGTCTGACTACCACCTACACCCACAGGCTCACTCAGCTCGGGACGGATCCTGCCCTGCTGGCCTGTCACCCAGTGCCTCAGGCCTAGCTGGTTGCCCCTGCTCTGCCCTTCGGGTTATTCCTAGGTCCAGCCACTCTCAGCTCACCCTGAGCAGACCAGGCTGAGGCATACTGACCACACTGCTGGCTCCAGGAAGTAGGCCACTGCCCTAACTATACAGCTTGGCTCCACGTCGGCATACTGGCTCACCTTAGATTTCACTAGTCCTCTCCCCTCCCATTCTGTCCCCTTGCCACAGGGACTCAGAGTCAAGGGCATAGCACTACCCTCAAAGTCAGGACTAGTTTCTGTACGTTTGTCTTTTCCCTGTGAGTGTCAGTGTCCCCATCTGCAGAAGGGACGGCAATATCTGCATCTCACACCATCTTTATAAAGGCTAAATTGTTTGTAAACTGTGTCTCTGTATGTGTAGATGTGTTCTACTAAAATCTGCAAAAATTCCAAACAGTCATCACAGCCTCTAACTGTTTGTTTCCATCTTTCATCCGTGCTAGGAGTAGTGCTGTGCACCTAGACTTCCCGATACTCAGGAGGCTGAGGCAGGAGGGTGGCCAGGAGTTCCACAGCCGCCTGGCCAACACAGTGAGACCCTTGTTTCAAAAAAACAACCTATGTCCAAGGCACCCTTGCAATCTTATACTCTCTGAGCCCCACCTTGCTTCATTTCTTACTTGGTACTTCTGATAACCACCTAACAAACCACACACACCCACACCACACATATTCTCATTTATTTTGGAGACGGGGTCTTACTACGTAGCTCAAATTGTCCTTGAACTCATGACTCTCCTGCCTTCCTAGGATTACAGACATATACCGCCATGCCTAGTCAGCTAATAAACCATGCATTCAACCTGCCTTTGTGTGAATTATTTTACGTTGGGTAAATTCTCGTGAGGGTATTTTTTTTTTTAATACTTCAACTCTGTTTACTGCTTTGTGTCCTAGAACAGCCTAGCACCAAACCCGCACGGCTAGTTGAGGAATGAGACTAGTTGAGGAATGAATGAGCAAGTCACGTCTGGACCATGTTCCAGGCACTGTACGGCTGCAGATCATCTCATCCTAGGGTCAGGTGCTTAAAAACACTGGGAAGGAAGCAGCCTGGTTAGGCTGTGACTCCGGTGTCTACCCTGTTAATGACTGTGCTGGACTTCCTTTCCTGTGATTAGCTAAGCCTCTTACTGTCACCCGTCACATGCCCCTAAGGCCACCAGCCTCCCAACCCTTCTTCACTGGGTCACTTCCTCCCACTTCTCAGCTCTAAGTAAGCTACACTACTCATTCCCCCCTTAGGGTCAGTGCTTGGGCCCTGCCTAGAATGTTCTGGGCCCCCATCTCTTCCAGCTCATCTGTCTCTCAAAACCCACGTGTTGTAGGGGCATTCCTGCCAGATTCCACTTTCTTTTATCTGCAGCATGTTCAAATTTGAGGCCAACCTGGACTACACAAGTCACTCTGTCTCTTCCCATACTCCCCTTTTCTCTTACGTGTTTGAGCAAGAGCATGCCTGTGCTCTCATGCGTGCACACGCACATGCACAGACCTTGCCCTCTTCCATCCCTTCCCTGTTATCCCTGTCCCTCTCCTGACCAGGGCTTCCTCCTTCATCTGCTGGATCAACCCCTCCACCCCAGCCCCCAACTAGTTTGAATATTTTTGATTAAGAAATGTAGCCCCAAGCCGGGCGGTGGTGGTGCATGCCTTTAATCCCAGCACCCAGGAGGCAGAGGCAGGCAGATCTCTGTGAGTTCGAGACCAGCCTGGTCTACAAGAGCTAGTTCCAGGACAGGCTCCAAAACCACCGAGAAACCCTGTCTCGAAAAAAAAAAAAAAGAAAAAGAAAAAAAAGAAATGTAGTCCCAAGTCCAATATGGTGGTGCACACCTTTAATTCCAGCACTTAGGAGGCAGAGGCAAGCAGATTTCTGTGAGTTCAGGGACAGCCTGGTCTACATAGTGAATTACAGGACAGCCAAGGCTATGTAGAGAGACTTGTCTCAAAAAAAGAAAGGGAAGGAAGGAAGGAAGGAAGGAAGGAAGGAAGGAAGGAAGGAAGGAAGGAAGGAAGGAAGGCGGGCAGGCAGCCCTACCCTTACTAGCTAGCTTTCTTTTTTTTCTTTCTTATATGTGTGCATGTGCGTGTGTGATTTTCTGATTGGCTGTGTTTCTTGGGGGATGTCACTGTACCTCTCGGAACCCATTTCCTACCTGCAGAATAAGGATAATACATGCTCTGCCTTCTGAGCGCGTGCCTGACACTCAGCGCTCCGTGAACACCAGCCCACATGCTGACATTTCATAGTGCTGCTAGGCTCCATCCGGAGAGCCTCAGCCAGCTCGGTTCTTCCTTTCTGAACAGCCCCCTACACACGCTTCTTTCCAGATTATGATGGAAAGAAGACAGCTGAAATGTGCAGTCCCTTACTATCTGTAGTGGTTGGAAACTTGTACCCAGCCGACTCTTTGTATTACTTGCTTAATTAACTAACCAAACCCTCACCATGCCCTATAAGGTGGGGAGAGCTACCATTAACATCCTTTGTACTGATAGTCAAGGCCATGCATGTACCATGAGTAGGATTTAATTTCTGTTTTTATTTCTGTGTATGTGTGTGTTGTGTGTGTGGATGCCATACATGTGGATGCCTTCAGAGGCCAGAAGGTGGTGTTGCATCCCCTGGATCTGGTGTTGCAGGTGACTGTGAGCTGCCCAACATGGGGACTGTGAATTGAACTTGGGTCCTCTGGAAGAGGAACAAGCGCTCTTGAAGACTCAGTCTCTGAGCCATCTCTCTAACCACATGAATGTGATTTAAAACCAGGCTGTCTGACTCCAGTATTGGGTCTGCCACAACCCGCCCACCCCCTGCTATTCCCACCTACTGTGCTCTGGGGTAGGACTCCCGGAACTGGATCTGAATGTCAGACACTCACTGACCTCTGCTTTGGAGCCCAACCCTTTGTATTTGACATCACTGACCCCAATAAATCCTAAAACATCAGCCCTGTTCACTTCCTCTTGACAAAGGAGGAAACAGAGGCTCAAACAGAAGTCAAGGAACTAAAGATACAGGATCCAGATCTAAACTCTCAACTACACACTTGTTGGTATTTGAGATTTTTGCTTTGTTTTTCGAGACAGGGTTTCTCTGTGTTATAGCCCTGGCTGTCCTGGAACTAGCTCTATAGACCAGGCTGACCCCAAACGCGGAGATCCACCTGCCTCTGACTCCCAAAGGCGTGCACCACCACTGCCCAGTTGAGATTTTTTTTTTCCCTCTTACTGGGTGACCAAGCTGTCCGAGGCCAGCCAGTTCTCCCATGCCCCCTTCCAGTAAGTCACCACTGTAGCAGTGGGGCCATGTCCACAAAGGATCCCTAGCCGGGACACCTGCTGCTATCTATACCTGTGACGGGTCCCCCATCCCCGCCCCACCTTGATTTGTAGGCTCTCTCGCCCTTTCAGATATTTGAGTTGGTGAAGAGTCTGCCTTTTAACCTAATCAGGCTTCCCAAAGACACCTTGTCTCATTCCCTGACTTAAAGCACCACGGAGGGGAGGGGATGGAGGAGACAATATGGTGGTTCAAAATGAGAACTAATCCCAAAAGTTCAAAAGTACTGGCTTGTAGGACCTTGGGCAAGTCCTATAGCTCTCTACGCCCTGCTTCTGTTGATATAGGAGGAGCTCCCCCTCATCTGGGAGGTAAGTTACCGAGACCTGCCCAGGTGAATGCCTGAGATGGTCAAATAGCAACCCCAATGGATACTATGTTTTCAAGTTAAGTTTATTAATCACTCACCCTAAGAGATTAGCAACAATATAGTTGAATACTTACAATATATACTAACTGTAACAAAAGTACTTAAAACTTATTAGTTGTTTACTTCTGGAACCTTCCAGTTAATAGTTTTGGACTCCAAGTGATCACAGTTAACTAAAAGAAGTAAAAACCAGGCTGGAGATGGCTTAGTGGTTATGGTTAAGAGCACCTGGGTTCAATTCCCAGCAACCACATGGCAGCTCACAACTGTAACTCCAATTCCAGGGGATCCAACAGCCTTACACAGACATACATGCAGGCAAAATACCAATGCACATAAAAGTAGAAAAGAAGAGGAAAAGCTAGGTGGTGGTGGCACGTACCTCTCTTATCCCAGCACTTGGGAGGTTAGACTCTGGCGGATCTCTGGGAGTTCAAGGCCAGCCACGTCTACAGACTGAGTTCCAGGACAGCCAGGGCTACAGATGGAGACGCCCTATCTTGGAAAAGCAAAGGAAGAGAAGTAAAGCAGAGGCCATGGGTGGCGGTGTGTAAAACAAGGACAACAGAGGCGATGGCGATTACTTGTAAAATTCTCAGTGTTTGCTAAGTTGCAGGTGTGGGAGCAGCTCAGTGGAACAGCATGTGCTCAGTGTGCGTTGAGGCTCTAGGTTCAATTCTCAGCACCAGGAAAAAAAGTACTTAAGGAAAGGAAAGTACTTAGGGCCACCCTGCCCGGAAGGAAGGCCTCCTGTGGCCGGCCACAGAGCACCTCAGATCCAAACAGGCAAGAGAAGAGCTCAGGGAACGTGAGCGGTGGCAGAAACCTCACCCTTGGGGGAGCTCTGTGACAGGGACCTACTCCCCAACCCCACATCCTCCCAAGCCAGTGGACCCCATTTCCCGGCCTCATCCTCCCACTCTAATCTCTGCGAGTTCTCCAACTGTTAGCCCTTTCCACCAGGACGGGTGGCTGCCTGTCCAGGCCTTGCTTCCCGGAATTGCTGTGTGACCTCAGGCAAGCCCCTCAGAGGCCTCGTCTTCTTCATACTGACCGGGAGTAAGCCTGTCCCCTACCAGTGATAACTGAGGTCATATCCACGCATGTGTCACAGGTGTTCTGTTATGCTGGTAACTTGGAAGCCTGACCACACAACGAGCGTGTCATCCGAGCACCGAGTAGGACGGAGAGCTGTCAGCAAAAACTGACATCCTCCTGCCTCAAAAGTTCTCCAACAGCCTTGAAATACCACCCGACGCAAGTTCCCCCTCATTACCCGATAACGCTGCAACAGGCAAGGGTTCAAGTCAGGCTTCTCAAGGTCACAACCACCATAGCTAAAGGCCTGAAGCCAATCTTGGAGAGAAAAGGAGCAAGCATCCCTTGGAGAAGCAGCAGGGGCTGTGAGGAAACCCTGTGATGTGAGAGGTTAAGGGAGGGACCTACTCCCCGGAGCGTTCCTTTTCTACCACAGTAACCGAGCATCACCTGGCAAGGCCTTCTACCCACTAGCAGTGGGGCTAGTGGCAGCAAGTTAGAATAAGAGATTAACGCTGTTAATTAATTAAAATAAACAGCAAATTAAATACAGCAAAATTAAAATAGCACAGGAAATTAATTCTCTACCAGCCCCACCTCACAGGTGAGCTCCTTAAAGAGGTCCCTCACAGCCCAATCCAAGGCAGCTGAGAGGGGCTGTGTGGCAGACCACTTGCCTCACACTACAACCCCTGGCAATCCTAAAGATCATGACAGAACATACCTGCCCAAAGGCATTCACCTGGCTCTGATACCCCAATCGGCACCTGGCTCCCCCAGAGAACTCCATGAACTGTATCCTGAACCTTGTTCCTCTGTCAATGGAGGAAGGGCCCTGACACCACCCAGGTCAGACATTAGACTGTGTCCTCTTGGGCACGTGGCCCATTTCCACTGCCATCCAAGTTAGGGCAGGACGGGAGAGGGACAGAGGCCCTCTCTTTTGGGTCCCTTGTAGGGCTCGGATTCAGATTTTAGAAAGACCTTTGTCTTCTATACGGGGCTCTGGCCTCTCTTCGGGGTGCCTAAAGTTCCTCTCTGGAGACCCCTCATTCTATTTTCTCAGTACACTCAGGAAGAAAGCACCACCGAACCGAGACCCAGAACCCAAGCCAAAGATGTTCACTCCAGGTGGCTCGCTCAGCCCTCACACGATGCCAGTTTCCTCCCACACAAGATAACAGCTTATTTCACAAATGAGGAAACTGAGGCCAGGGCAAGCCTGTGGTGGGGCCTGAAGCTGAATCTCAATGGCCACATTTCATGTTATCATCAAACACTGATAGAGTCTGAGTGAAACCCAGCTCTACATGACCCTTCTCTCCCATAACCCCACACTACAGCTCCATCACCTCGTGGTGAAGGACACCAGCCTCTCAGTTCCTGCCCTCTGGCTGCTAATGGTGGATAATGAATGGGTCTACCTGCAGCCCCTCCCCCAACCTCAGCCTGCCCAGATTCTACCAGTTTACCCCTAGCTCCACAGGCCAGTCAGGGTCCTGACACTTGCCTCCTGTAAGCAGTCGGGATGCTCGACTTCTATCCCTGCCGGAGCACTTTCCACGGTCTGCCTGATAAAGTCATCCGATGGTACTGCCTGCCCCAGTACCCGGCAAGGTATCCAACACTCAGTAGGTGCTGAGTGGATCTCAACTGACTGATACCCTCCACATGTCCAACGGATATCTGACTGTAGTGGCTATTAACTGGCTAGCTACAAGCCCAGCACCACCTGCCCTAGGTGAGACCATGAGCCTTTAGTACTCAGACCTCCCAGGTAAGTCACCTATGATCCCAGAAGGCTGAAGCAGGATGAACAGCAAGTTCCTGGGCTACACAATGAATTCTGGGGCTAGCCTGAATTGCATGATGAGACCTTGTCTCAAAACAAGGCCAAGTGTGGTACCTCACATAGAGGCAGGAGGAGCTCTGTGAGTTCCAGGCTAGCCTGGTCTACCTAGTGAGTTCCAGGCAGTAAGACCCTATCTCAAAAACAAAACAACCAATCCAAACTTTTCCAACTACTTGTTTCCATCCTAATGATCTGATCTAATCCAGATTCTGATGCTAAAGACTTGCTGTGTTAGGGCTGGAGAGATAGCTCAGCTCTGCAGAGCTGCTTTTCCAAAGGAACCGGGTTTAATTCCCAGCACCCATATGGCAGCTCACAATTGTCTGTAACTCCAGTCCAGGGGCTCTGATACCTTTACACCAGTGCACATAAAAAATAAAAGTTAAATAAAAATTATATCAAGAAAAAAGACTTCCTGTGTCCTCCTGGGGCTCACTGGACAAAACTCACCTCCCTGAGCAGGGCAACCATTCTCGACCGCCTGGCTTCTCCCTCCTTGAAGCTCCCCCTCTGTTCTTTGAACTGTACCACCTTCTCTCGGCCCATCAAAGTTTGATTCCCTTAAGGCTTTGTACATGCTCTCCCCTCTGGCTAGAACCTCCTTCCCACAGTGTTCCTGTTATGACGTCATACATGCCCCCTGATAGCCAAGATCAAGGCTTACCTTCCAATCTCATAGAAAGAGAGAAGCAACAGCCAAGGTCGATCACAAAATTTGGGACTGAGAAAAGAACCTATGCTTGTCTTTGTTATCAGTCTCCCTGGGGCTTCACCCCTAAACAACCGCTCCAGCAATACTGAGCAATATGCGTTAAGGGAATGAGTGCTCCTTACACACTTGTTGACTAGACAGAAAAAGAAGACAAAAGAATTCAAGGCCACAGTACGCAGGGCCGGAGGTGGAGGAGAGACTGAGGACTAGGAAGGCCAAGGACAGGCATCACTAGAGCCAGATCTGCAGCACAGCTCCTCTCCAGGCAGAGGGCGTGTTTGAGAGAGGCAGAGGAAGGAAAGAGAAGGGAGGCTCAGGAAGTGTGTGCGCATGCATGCCTGTGTGAGAGGTGAGGATGCATGTGTGTTGCATTTGTGAATTAACCTGTGTGTGAAAATGCAAGGAAACGGGGGGGAGGGCGTGACTCTGTGCAAGAAAGCCATGAAGGCTGTGGGTCAGTATAGGTGTCTGAGTGAGGAAAACTGTGTGCACGCGCACACACACGGGATGCTGTATGTACCTGACTGAAGCTGTACATGTCTGCTGGAAGGAGGAATGACCGAGAAAGACAAAGGCAGGGGCCACATGACTGGGGGCGAGACTGGAGGGGGGTTGTTATAAGACTCACAGGGGAAGATGGTATCCTGTGAGCAAGACCCGTATAAAAGTTAAGAGATGTCAGGGCTCTGCTGAGGGTGTGGCTGGGGTGGCCTTTGCTACAGGCCTAGTGCCAGAGGTGGGGGCCAAGGGCTGGGGCTCATGGAGCAGAAGATTCCTCAGGGCCTCTCAGGTGCCAGATTACTATGTTCCCAAGCAGGGAGACTGAGAAGGAGGCCCAGATGTGCATGTGCCTCCACATCTGTCCACAGCAAAACCTCTGGGCATTTATTTGTCTTTGTCTATGTCCGGGTGTGCACGCCTGTGCTTGTGTAAGCCCTGCCAGCTGTGTGTCTGCACTTGTCTTTGTCTGTATGTAGCTAGGGCCTTTGTCTGAGAGTGTGGCTGTTGGTCTCTGCCTGTCTGGGTGGCAGTGTCTGGTTTTGTGTGTCTAAGTTTATCTGTGTCTATGGGGTACCATGTGTCCTTGGCTCTGCATGTTTAAGGCGTGGAAGCAAGAGACCTCTCGGACTGCTTGTTTGCATCCGCAGATCCGGGTGGCCTTACTCTGGAGGACACGCTATTTTGAAGCTGCTGGGCCCAAAGCTTTGGTGTACCTGAGTGTGCGCTGTGAGCCTGTCTCTGTGTGAGCCCTGCTATGTATTGTAGCACAGCAATGGTTATCTGTGTTTGTGACACTGTGGGTGTGTGTGTCTCTCTACCTCTGCACGTGTGTGTCTGTGTGTGTGTTGGGTGTGAGGGGTTTGTCACAGACTGGTGAGCAAGTTAATCTCAGACTCTGTGACACGTGGAATAAAATCACCCTCCCATAATAGGATCATTCGTCTTCCTGTCCAAGGAGAGAACCAGCTCTTCACCCTCCACCCTGGGGGAGCCAGTGGGGCCAAGGCCAGACTCCAGCCCCCACTCAGGCCCCTTCTGGCCCTTGGCACCTCTATCCCTCCTCTGCTGCAACAGGCTCATTAGGCCTCCAAAGTGCCCTGGTGCCCACTGTGGACTGGGCAGGGCTCCAGGACATGTGACTGGGCCTTAGAGGCCTGTCCTGGGCCCCCCAGCCCCACCCACTGCCAAGGAGGGCTCTGCCCCAGATGGGGGGGGGTGCAGGAAGGAATCTTTGAGCCCCTCCTCCTCCCGGAGGGGAGGGATGAGCTGCAGGCCCAGCCGGGATTTTCCATCTCTCAGCAACAAGATTCCTGGTGAGCAGGCTGCAGGGTTTGGCAGGGCGCCTGCTGGAGACCCGCCCTCACCCGCCAGGACGCCTGAGTCCCCAAGGCCCAGC